TCCATATGAGCACCCCCTAATATAGTAATCCTCCATAAATATCGATATCCCCTTTATGACCACCCCCTCATATAGACATCCCTTATAAATACACGCACCTCCTCGTATAGGCACCCAACGTCCCTTGAATTTGAGCGTCCCCTGAATTTAAGCGTCCCCGGAACTTGAGTGTCCCCTGAATTTTTCGCCTTATTTTTTTATTTATATTTATATAGAGAGATAGAGAGATGATAATGACCATTTTTTTAATAAATAATCGTCCATAAACGTGGAAAGTCCCATGTCCCTGCGCTCGCTCATTTGTCCCCATGCACGTTTGACACATGTCCCTATCCTCGTCTCGTGATTTGAATGATATGGACAGATCATATCCGAACTAATTACATCGTGAGTATCCTATTTGGGATAAAGCAACACTAAAAAATATCTCGAGGCACAAAATTATATTTCAATTGGACAGTCCAACCTTTTAAATGATTTTTTCATCCGTTTAGTCCATTACCAGTTGACAGTTGGTTGCAAAATGAGCATAGGATCAATGCCATTTCCATTGTACCTATTCTTATAAGGAAGAGTGGGGTAAAACGGCCCCTTTTGACTTTTTTTGTGATACTCATAACTCAGAAATAAATTCATTAATTGAGATCAGTCTAGGCTCATTCTAAAGGGGAAAAAGTGTAGTTTCTATGGGAGAAAAATTATTCCATTTTATTTCAAATTGAATGAGCTGTTAACATTTTTGAAAAAATCAAAAGGGGCCGTTTTACCCCACTCTCCCCTAATTGCCGACGTTTCAGTGAAATATTAAGATATCACTACGACTCATGTATTTTCATTGATTTTTCAACTTTCCAAAACCTCAGTCAAGGGATTGTTAATCCCATTTTACTATTATAACGGAGATATCAACATTTAAAAATTGTGAGTTTCTCAACTTGCGGCTTAAGAATTCACTCTGTCGTAGCGCCAGTCGATGTGAATGGGATTTTTCTCTCTTATTCTTCAATAAATTACTGCTCATTGGTGTCGACAACTTGCCTTATTAACTAAAATAATAACTCCACTCGTATTTCACTCTTAATAGATTCTTGGGACTGTCAAAATGATTAAAATGTAATAGCTCGCGACATTTGAATGAGCGCAATGAATCAATTCATTCTGTTCTATTACCTTTTGTCCCACAACTTCACTATCGACTACTGTTTATTTTTTCCTCAAGACAAAATTCCAAATGGGGGATGGATATCTGGCTCAGCGACGCTCCCCTCGCCGTACTTCCAGCCACAAATAGTTCTTCGAAAATCGATAAACGCCAAAGCATCGGAATAGTACGTGTAACGATTCCGGTCACGTGAAGCGACCACTTTTCTGAATATCGAACCTTTCTTTCCAGAATTATGTATATTCCTTTGAAATAAAATCTGAAGAAATAATAAATAAAAGGAATTAAATGCGCCGGGGAGTTGAGTAATGACTTTTTAGCCGTCATAAATAATTCATTCGAGGAATAGAAAAACTCGAGGAACGGTACCTCGTGTTCTTACCAGTCCGAAAATTTTGCGCGAAGATAGGAATAAGTGATTTCATCGTATCATTAATATTAATGAGACACCACACGGCAACACGAAACAAATGCGCTGGCAATTTTAATATATCGATTTGTCGAATGGATTCACTCCTACGTAGTAGAGCGTAATCCGTGAATTACCGTCGCTAAATAATTGAGTAATTTATTCTGGTGATAACTAAATAGTTGATGAGTTCGGATAAAATGTCAAGGCGAATGTCCTTTACATACTCAAGGGAATTTCCACCCTAGGAGAGTACTTTCCCGAAATAATTTTTATATTCCAACATTTTTCAGAGCGAATTTGCTCATCAGAAGCCATTTTTTATAGATTAACTAATCTCCTGAATTCAATGAATATCTCGGAATGTAAGGCGGATAGCGAAATTTTTGTTGTAATCTTTTTTATAGCTCTGAATTTAGTCTACAAAAAAGCTTATTTCAACAACTTCGCTATTTTCCTTAAATTCGGATTCCAATCGTTTTACCCCTTCGCTACTAAATTCTTTCCAAAAAAAAAAACAAAAGAGAATTATCCAAATCATTTAGGTCAGAGGAAAATAAAATAATTCTACTTTCTTAAGTTGATTAGAATTAATAACTAGAATTATGAGATTGCCTGACATTTTTGACGTTAAAAACAGGAGAATCTGAATGCAATATAGTGAAAATGATCGATTTTTTCACTTTGAGCAAATAATATTAATATCCAAATACAAAATTTCTGATATGAATAAATTGAGTCACAAGAGCTGTGACTCAATATTCCAAATGAAGATTTAATTTTCAATTTGGTGGAATTACATTGATGAGATGAAGAACAGATCAAATGAATTACCCGTGAGCTAACTAAAAATTGATAGCAGCGTGGACACGCACTTTTACCAGAGTATCAACAGCCACTGAATCCATAAATTCCCACTCTAAAGCGGTTCTAAAAGGAATTGAATTGTAATCATGTGAGCAAAACATTTATTGCCTTTTGCAACAAGAACAACTATAAATAATAAACTGAAAAAAAAATACCGAATCTGACAATAGAAATGGGCACCGCCACAAGGGGTGGCACTAGTTCCAAAAAAAAATTGATAATTTTTTCCACTCACACCCAGGATCAGTGCACTTTCTGACGACACTCTCCAGCACCTCCGGCGCCTCGACCTCAAAACAGCACTTGATAAGCGCCATAACGAAAATCCCCCAACAATCACCAAATATACTAATTTTTGTACTCCAACCGCCGCTCCTATTCTCCACCAAAATCACTCCCTAATCTCCCATATCCCCAGAACGAACTCCCACGGGGTGGCACGTCAGAATACCGTCGCGAGTACTCATGACCCGCACCCTCGCCCGTGCTCCACTAACCCGTATCACACGAGACAACCCCAATGATTTCATCCCCCTTCTGACGTCACTCCCGCCGAAGCGCCTGTGCCAGAGTGATGGGCACTCGCACAGGCGCGCGTGACGTAGAGAATTCGATTTTCTCTAATTTCAGGTGTTCTCACCTGTCGCCCACTATTTTCGGACCAATGGAAAGCGTTCATCAACCTCTTCCACGAGTGTGACCTTGTCTGAATGCGTCTCCTCGTCCTTGACATCTTTCACTTTCATTCCACCACGAAAGAGAGAGAGAGAGGGAGAGAGAGAAAACCGAAAGACAACTTCGAGGTGGCCCTTGAGACGCCATTTTTCTTGTTTACATTTTTATTCTCTTTGTTCTTGACCTGTCCGCCCAGCCATCTCGCCAATTCTGGCATTTAGAGAAATGCCAAATGCATGATACGTCGTACGCTGAGAGACAAACGAACAAGGTCTCAAACAAGTCTCGCTTGGGCCAAGGAATTGCTCGTTGAAAATGACCAAAATTCGTTATTTCCGCACTTGTGCGTAAAGTGGAATTTTGCGCACGCGCAGAGGGCAGCACTCGCCTTCGGCGAGCGCCAGGCACCTCCCACGGATCAAACAACACTTTTACGGACGTGTTTCGAAATACACTAATTATGCAACAAGTGCGGAAAGTCATGTTTTTCCGTCCTGGCGGGCGCAAAGTTACATTTCCCTCCCGCTTCGCATTCTAACCACGAAAATTGCGTTCTAACCACGGGAAGTAAAATAAAGGACCCTCAGCCGCGTGCTTACCAACCTCGCCTTCGCCTCGCCTGCGGCGGAGGATCTTTTAGTTTCCCTCCCTAGGTTAGAAATATACTATTCCCGCTCGAGGGGTACATGCTATTTTTTAACACGCCTGCGAAAAAAAATTTGTATTTTGCTTTCTGATGAGTGGGAGGAAAGTACGAACTTGCCGTGTAGGTGTGTAAAAAAAGCACTTTTCAGCACGAAGTGAACGTAGCAGCAGTGTAAAAATGGTATATTATGTCATCAGGCGGTGATTATAATCACATGGGTCAAATTAGTATATTGTGCACCAAGGGCAGAAAGCCATGTTTTTCCCGCCCGGGGTGCACATGCTATTTTTTAACACGCCTGCGTAGAAAATAGTATATTGTGCATCAAGGGCGGAAAGTCATGTTTTCCCGCCCGAGGTGCACATGCTATTTTTTAACACACCTGCAAAGGAAAGTTCTTATTTTGCTCTTTGATGAGCGGGAGGAAAGTACGAACTTTCCGTGCAGGTGTGTGAAAAATTTGTATTTTGCTTTCTGATGATCGGGAGGAAAGTGAATACTTTCCGCCCAAGGGCGAAAAACCAGTATTTTCCTCGCTCCGGAACAACTTTCCATCCTAGAGCGGAAAGTACTCACTTTTCTCCCGCTTATCAGGAAGCAAAGTACGAACTTTCCGTGCAGGTGTGCTAAAAAAGCACTTTTCGGCACGAGGTGAACGTAGCAGCAGTGTAAAAATGATATATTATGTCATCAGGCGGTGATTATAATCACATGGGTCAGATAATACTTTAATCGCCGTGTGACATACAATATTTTATGTCACTTGACCCGAAAACCGTTGTCTATCGGTCCTAGTGACAAAAAATAAATTGTTTGATTCGAATTTGAAAGTCTCAAACACGAATAATTGCCCCAGAATGAAAAATGTTATAAAATGTTTTTCCTCTGCATCTATATTCACTCTACCTCATCACAATTCCCAAAACATTAGAATGCCCCTGATCGTGAAGAGAAATGAAAAAGAGAAGGAGCGATGAGGAACAGATCAGAGCAGAACAAGTTGGAATAATCTAGTGGGCAGAATCGCATCGAACGGTCGTCGAGCCAAACACGGCGAGGACACGAACGACGAGGACTCTTTACGAGTACACAACAAGAATGACGTCAGCCCCATTCGACCCACGCGAGACAACATGTGTCCGTGATTTTACTAATAATACAAGATTGACAATTACGACGTTGAGGACTGGACTTTTTTTGTGAGCATTATTCGCTCTTCTGGGCCGATGACCTCTGTTCACACACCTCTCTGGCTACACACCTTATTTTTTATTGTTTTATCGTGCGGAGTAAGATATCTTCGCAAATGCTGTTATCAGAGAGACATAATATTGGGCTAGATTGCGTCATGAGGTGAACTAAGCTGTCGGGGATCGGGGAAATGAGTAATTGTTGATCTTTCTGTCCGATTGAGGGGGTTCATCTGTATTTCTCAAGGGAGTCCCAGTGTTCTCGAGCCCTGTTCAATCCCTGAACAAGAAAATTTTCAATTTTAAAGTCGCTAGTTCAGTGTGCATTTGCAGATCTCTTGAAGATTATTTTTTTTTTCGTTAGATTGATTGGGTTTTTTCTCGTCACTTACGAGTGTCAAATTATCTTCATTGCATTTTTTTTAGTTATTGAAACAAGAGCCTCAGTGGATAGAATTTGTCCCGAAACTCATAATTTCCAGTATCATTTTTTTTTTCAAATAACTGTGTTATGAAATCTAGAAAAATTCGGGAACTTATGCGTTCTTTCCAGCAATTTTTTTTTATCGTGATTTTACATCGCTTCGACCCGGTTAGAGTATACTGCGATGATGATCAAGACTTTAAAATGGTTAGATCGCACCATTCTACCCGACCGGGATTTGAACTCGGAACCTTTCGCATGTGAAGCAACGAACTTACCCACTGCGCCAAGCCACCGGGCTTCCAACAAAATTTGATTTGATTTGCATACTTTTCTACTTTTGTAGTCCACTATCAGAGTTTTAATTTAAGTTCCATTTTACCCTAAGCGTCCGGAAATTTTGCAATGATTTTATTAATTAAATTTTACAGGTCTGGAGGAAGATTAATGAAATTAAAAATTTTAAAATTTTTGAAAATTACGAACATTTTCTCTAAATAATAAAAAAAATCATTTATTCGGAATCGTAACAAATTCATTCTCATCCAGAATTTTATGGAAATCGATTTCATGCCTAAAAAAATAAGATTTCCGAAAGTTTAACTAATTTCAATCATTTATTTATGAACAATGATTTTTTTTCAAATTTTTCTCCCGCTAGTTATTCGACTAATTTGTCAATTAAATTGCGTGCAGTCTCTACCAAACTGCAAAGACACTTGGATATCCTTAAATAGTAGCCAAATTCCAAAAAAATCCAAATTTCATTATTTTTCAACTCCACACCGAGGTTCCCAAAAAATCCGAAAAAATTCCCAGTGATGCAGCCCACTCAGCTATTTCTCCCCCGAATTTTTCAATTTTTTTTTCTACCATTTTGACATTTTCCACGTCACACCTTAAACGACAACATTTGCACACATGCTACGCCCAAGGAGATGCTCTCTCATTGGCCCGAGCGCATGGGAAACGGTGGTTCCGTCATTAGTTTCAAGTCAGCCGATGCCTTCGATCGTTATCACAAGACATTAGTCAGTGCCACAAAAATCGCAGAAGAAGATAATTGCTATCAATCCGAGCTGATCAAATTTTTCTGTCGCTCGCCGATGTCGTGTGCGGAGTGTCAAACGATAAGATCCTCTCGAATATTCTCGCTAGACTAGGAGATGACTCACTCGATTTCAACTCTGCGTTTCGCCGCAACATGTCTGTTTTATTGCTTGATAATTCAGGGTCAGTGTTTTTCCTTCTCATTTCCTATTCTACTATTTATTTCAGTAGCGAAGTGGTGAAACGGTCCAAGTCGACTCATCTCCCAGTCGAGTTTTCGAGGAATATTTCCGAATCTAAGGGAGATAGCGAAATTTTTGTAATTACATTTGTTGTAGCTCTCAATCGGCTCTACAAAAAAGGTTATGATAAAAATATTGCTATCTCCCTTAGATTCCGAGATATTAATTGAAAACTGAGCAACGGTCAAAATTAACTTATACCGTTTTACCACTTCGCTACTGATTTGCTTTCCGCTGAATTTTTTTCATCTTCCGCGAATATTGCTGTCAGGTCTTGATGCTCGAAGATTGCCGAGACTGTCGGGCGGTGCTGGGGCAGATCCATCTGCTATTTTTTATCAAGCGTCCTTGAGGAGTGACGACTATCATTTTTGCGGTGGTGCTATAATAAGCGAGAAGCACATTCTCACTGCTGCACACTGTGTCGCTGATTTGTTTGCACCACCTTACGATGATTTAACAGTGGTCACGGGGACTGGTGCACTGCGAGGTGGTAATCAACATGAAGTATTCAATGTCAGTTGGCACAAGGGGTTTCAGCTGCTGGTTCATGCTAATGACATTGCTGTTATTACTGTGAGTTGAATTAATTATTTTTCGCGATGCCGGAGATTGCTGATAATTGGGAAATATCAAACACTGAGACGGACATTTGGCATATAGTGATGCCGTCGAGACTAGACGAGAATTATTTTGGAAAGATCATCACGGTCTAAAAAACCGAGTTGCAGTATTTTCTGTTTTTCAAATGTTTGTCTCGATATCTGTCTCGTCTCGTGAACTTAAAAAAGCGAAAATCTCGAGATCCAGGCAAGATAATTGTGACGAGATGCACCGATCCAATGTCTTTCGAGATTGCGACTGTTGGAGTTCACATTCCATGATTACAAAAATTAATTTTATATTTCACAGTATGTTTATTATATTATTATAAGAGAACATTTTTCTGATCTGAAATTCTGAGAAGAGCGTGGACGAATGTTTGGGCATTTGGTTTTTCAGTCTAAACATCTGTAAATGAATAGAGACCTTTGTGGGTCTATGTCGCCAGGGTTTCAGACCTCTGGGATCTTTGTTTCTTTAGTTAGTCCATCTGAGGAGCTCAAAGCGTGTGGATGTGTCTTCCTCGTAAATAATTTCAAATAAAGAAAAGTTTCAACTCAACCGGATTGATTTTTATTAAAAATCACCCATTTCCAATAGCGACGATTTCAAAACTTTCGATGTTTTTCCAGACCGTGATGATCTCTTCAAAATAATTCTCGACTAGTCTCGGCGGCATCACTACATTTGAGAAGTAGAACCGGTTGTTGTCATTCTCAATATCATTTCCAGCAGTCTCGTATCTGTTTTGGTACCGAACAAATGTCAATACAGCCCTTTGTATTTGACATGGCTCGCCTCTAATTTCCATCACATGAAAAAATTAAATTCTATTGGAATTTTATAGGATTTCTAATGAAATTCTATTGAAAAATTCTTCTTGTTTTTTACACTGATTCTATTATTGCATATTTGATCGGAAGAAGTCAATATATTTTGAATTTCTGTTCCAATTTGTCTCTTGAGATTTTTTCACAAATTTTCTGTTTTTTCCGTTGAATTTTGTTTTGCTTTGCATTAAAGAATTCGAGTGGAGAAAAATCTCAAGAGAAAAATTGAAACAGAAAGTCGAAACCTATTGACTTTTTATTATCGGATATCCAATAAAATCAGCGCAAAAAGCAAATGGAATTTTTCAATAGAATTTCAATATAATTTGCTAGTCTAGCGCCACCTGTTGATGACCCTTCCAGTTCAGTTTCAGATTCCGGGGCCATTACAATAACTGCCCGATATAAATGGGGTTATAAGTTCATAATGAGAAAAGTATTTGGTTGGTAATGAATCATTTTCTGTCAATTTCCAGTTGAGAAACAAGATAAATTATAATGAAATTCAAAGACCAGCACTACTACCGAAATCCCCAGCGCCGCACAACGCGAAAGGTGTGATAAGTGGATTTGGGCGGCTAAAACAGAACAATATATATCCGTCGAAGAGCCTTCAGAAGATTTCCGCCGTCGTCATCAGCAGGGATGAGTGTCAGAAATTTGTCAACTATACGCTTTTGCAGGGTCAGATCTGTGGTGCTGCTCCAAGAGGCGTCGGCATCCAGAAGGTAGGGGGACGGAGACAAATTTCCCAGAAACGGACACGAGTAAAAACACCTTGCATTGGAGGCGACGAGTTGTGGACTCAGAGACAATGAGAAAACAGATGATTTTGCAAATCAAGTTGAAAATAATAAGAGTATCAAAAAATAGTAGAATACAATTCGTTATTTTTTTATACAACCAATATTCTTCAATTTGCGATTCAATCGATATGGAGGAGGGAACGAAAAGCCGCAGAAATCGACGACAGGGCTTTATTTTTCAGTGCAGTGGTTACTCCCTAACATTTCAGCCTCTGGGGGCAGAATTCGAGGAATTAAATGTTCGGGAAGCCCTCACTCTTCCGTTGGAGGCGGAGCTGGGAGAGATAGACAGAGAGAAGGAATCTGCCTGTTTCACTCACATGCAGAGAGCAATTCAGTAGCGAAGCGGTAAACCGGGTTAAGTCGATTTTGACTTTTGGCCATTTTTTGACAAATATCTCGGAATCTAAGAGAGATAGCAAAATTTTGCTCATTACCTTTTTTATAACCCTCAGTTGACTCTACAAAAAAGGTCATGACAAAAATTTTTCTATCTCTTTTAGATTCCCAGATATTCGTCAAAAATTGGCCAATAGTCAAAATCGACTTGACCCGGTTTACCGCTTCGCTACTGAATTTTACCGCGCAGTCGCGTCGCGCAGAGGGACACACAGATTTCCCCGAACACATTTACGTTGTCGATGGTGGGGGTAGCCAACTTCTCCGACTGCAATGTTAGGGAGGAACCACTGCATATTTTGGTCAGAAGATCTAGAAAAGTCTTAAAAGTCGCATAAAAGTAAAATCAAGATGTACTTTCTCGCATACTCGTTTTTCGCGCATTTGTTATTATATTTTGAGGCGTCAGAAAAAATCTTGGAATTTTGAGAAAATTCATCATTTTTTTTCTCAAACACAAGATGTGGGAAAATTTTGAAAAAATTCCCAGTGATGCCACATGCTCAGACGCTTCATCCCTGAATTTTGTAATTTTTTTTTCATTATTTTGACTTTTTATATGCAACACTTTAAGCCTAAACTCTACAATAATCCTGAGTACCCCCCGCGTCGGGTCAAAAAGTTGATACAGATGTGTGTCAATTACGTAATTAGTAAATTTTCCTTCATTTGGTCTTGGTCTGTTGATTTTTGGCTTGATTTTTTAGGGAGACAGCGGCGGGCCTTTCGTGGTGGATGACGTTGTCGTTGGCATAGCATCATGGAATATTCCGTGGGATCCGGTGGCTCCTGACGGCTACACTGATGTGTACGAATACCTGGACTTCATCCACATGATTATGAAACAAAATAATTAGTTCTGTTGGAAGCATTCGTCTGGACGACTATTGAAACCCAATTTACGTTTTGTTTGTTGAATTTATTGATTGGTGGTGACCATTCGCCATTTTTGCGATGGAAATATTGTATGACGTCAGGATACTCAGAATGGAATAAAGAGAATAATGAAAAAGAAAAATATTGGAATTTAATTATTAATTGAAGTCTGAGAGAAGTTCTGATAGAATTACAATTTGCACACTTGGAAAAATTATTGTGTAGCACCAGAAAAATTATGGTGACCCCACCGGCACATGAATTTTTCTAGAAAATTTTTGTCCGTGTATGTTTTTTTTTTCATACCTGAAAAACTCGTCAATATATTGGATTGAAACACTGGGGAGTTGATAAAAGATGATGGAAAAATATTATTATAAAACAGATAAATAATTGTCTTATAAATGTTGATGTTTCCGATTTTCCAGAATTTTTTCTGATATTTAAAAATTTGTCATGATAAACAACAGAAAAAATTGGCGATTGAATACTCCTTGGGGGTACTTTCATTTTTGAAAATTTCCTTCGACAAATTCGTGACCTTTTTAAGAGGAAAAATACCGTAAAAACTGACGTTATCTCTAAAAAATTGAAGTTCAGTATTGAAGGAGTAACGACCAGACGAATCCAAGATAATATTGAAAAAGATAAGTTAATCTGGAGCAGTGGAGTGAAAAATTAAATGGGATGGATAATTGTAACGGAGATATACTGAAGACTCGTGGAATCACTAAAAACAGTTCATAGACTAGGCTCCATTTCCATTTATCGTTTCCCCCCATCCAGTTACTGAATTCTGTGAATGAATAGTTCGAGTATGCGATCCTTCGATTGATGGGAGTTGAATATTTCGGGCTCTCTAATTATATATTTTTTGTTTTTCCACGAAATCCATTACACATGGAATTATGCATATGGATTAATTATATACAACTTCTCAATCTGCTCGATCGATTGAAACGTTAATTATTTATAAATCATTAGTGAAAAAGTCGGCTTTCAATTTATTTTTCCAGATTATAAAGATCTTTCCCAACGGTTCAAGATAGAAGATCAAATGAAGATCTTCAAAGTTTGAATGAAAAAGCCATTGCAAAATGTTTGATTACCGTCAATAGAACCTCCGATATTCAACAACAAAATAGCCCCAATATTTGGACAAGCTTGAGAAGCCAAATATTGATCAATTCTCCATCACGACTTTTCTTCCTTAAGTTCATCCCTTCGTATGGACTAATTGTTTTAAATTTCATAATCTGTTCTACAGATTGAGACATTAATTATTCATAAATGATTAGTGAAGAAAAGATTCACAAATCTTTCTCAAAAAATCCGCCTTTCAATTTATTTTTCCAGATTATTAAGATCTTTCCGAACGGTTCAAGATAGAAGATCAAATGAAGATCTTCAAAGCTTAAATAAAAAAGCCATTGCTTTTACGAAAATGTTTGATTAGCGTCAATAGAACCTCTGATGTTCAACACCAATATAGCCCAAACATTTCTATACGCTTGAGAAGCCATTGCTCAATTCTCAATCACGACTTTTCCTCGCTACATTCATCCCTTCCCGAATGAGTGACGTCAAATCTTTTGATTCAAAAACATCCCCCAATGTTTTTATAACTTTGAATGGCCGGATCAATGTCACAATCATTGATACTTCCTTATCGTCTCCTCAAAGCCAAGTTCAAATCTCCCACCAAACATCAAGCGCGATCAGCCAAATTATTTAACCAACCGACATGTGTCAATATGTGAATCAAACAGGAAGAAATAACCAGCTGTCAGTATATTTTTATCACCGTCGATGCATATAAAACTGCATCTCATCTCTCCAACGATACATTCACCAACACCTTGGACAACCTAACAGCAGCATGACGAGCCTGACTCTCATCTTCGTGGCGATTGCCATCGTCTCCGGTAACAAGCACATCTGTTCCGTTCGATAGAGATAATCAATCGTCGATTTCACATTTATCATCAATAATCTCTCTGTAACTTTCAGTCGCCTATGCCAAACCTCCTCAGAAAATCGTCGGTGGTGCAGTAGCTTCGAAAGGCGAAATCCCGTACATTGTCTCACTCAACAAGAACGGCCGTCATTTCTGCGGAGGCAGCATAATCAGTAACAGACATATTCTGACAGCTGCGCACTGCGTCTACAGTTTCACCCCATCAACTCAACGTTCGCTGACCATCAGAGCCGGTTCCTCATCCTCTACATCTGGCGGAAAAACGTACACAGTTGACAAGATCGAGTTGCATCCAGAGTACATTGATCAGGCAGGATCACCACCGAACGACATCGCCATAATTAGGGTAATTTTTGTATTTTCAATGCTCTTTGGTGATCAGTAACTGAATCTGCTGATGGATTTGGAATCCGTGTAACTAGTTCAGAGGATGCGAAAGCTTCATTTGGCCGCGAACATTATGTTTAACATTATGTTATGTTTAGGTGAAAGAGACCATCACCTTGGACCAAAACACCAAGAAGATAGACCTGGTGACCGCAGAACCAAAAGCTGATGCTTCCGTCGTGGTGTCCGGCTGGGGATTGCGCAGCTCCCGATCTAGACTAACATCTACCGAGCTGTACACAGTGAAGATAAAAGTTGTGTCACCAAGTGCCTGCCGAAAGAGTCACGCAAGAGTAATCAAGAATACCCACGTCTGCGCATACGGTTCAGTTGGACATGGAGTTTGCATGGGAGACAGTGGTGGCCCGCTTGCGCTTAATGGTCAACTCGCTGGTCTCGTGTCATTTGGTCTGCCTTGCGCTATTGGACACCCTGATGTCTACACCAGTGTCTACCACTACAGGGATTGGATCAGCAAAGTTATGGCGGAAGCGTGAAATTGAGAGTGATGTGATAATGCCTCCGTCTGTTATGTTCTGAATAAAGTATCAATATTCAAAAAATGTTGAGTATTCAATTTCCCGAATCCCAATGGTGCCCGGAAATTAGTGATCTTCTATGATGTAGTGACGCTGGAAGCTTCCTACTCAGCTGTCCCTTCAAATAATATCTCTATGTTCAATAGTCTTTGGTAGTGAATGAATGAATCTGCTCTTGGATTTGGCATTCGTGTAGCTAGTACAGAGAGGGCGAAAGGGTCATTTGGCTTCGTCTGTTCTGAATAAAGTATCAATGTTCAAAAGATGTTGAGTATTCAATTTCCCGAATCCCAATGGTGCCCGGAAATTAGTGATCTTCTATGATGTAGTGACGCTGGAAGCTTCCTACTCAGCTGTCCCTTCAAATAATATCTCTATATTCAATAGTCTTTGGTAGCGAATGAATGAATCTGCTGGTGGATTTGGCATTCGCGTAGCTAGTACAGAGGATGCGAAAGGGTCATTTGGCTTTGTCTGTTCTGTTCTGAATAAAGTATCAATGTTCAAAAGATATTGAGTATTCAATTTCTCGAATCCCAACCATCTCCTATGATGAAATGGCTTTCAAAACTTTCTCCTTATTTGTCCCTTCGATGCATGATCGTCTAGTAAAATCCTGATGGCCCACTCGAGATTCACTGCCCCCACTCTTCCACTCACTCATTTCACTCTATTTCATTATCATACGATAGCTTTCGTAATAACGAAACATGAAATTCTCTCGTCGCAGCTTCGATCTACTACAGCAGCATAGTATCATCGTACCGAGGAAAACTTTTGAGAGAGTCTCGCGAAATAGCACTTGATAGCGCGTACGAAGGCAGGAAAATACAGTATTTCCTTCATACAATTTGTTGCCGGAAAATAGGAGGTACGCCGTCACTTATCGGAACCACACGTCAGTACTTCCATCCGCTCGTGACTTGAGGAAAATCAGAATAATCATGCGGCATGTGCGATTTATATATATATACAAGGTAAGATAAACTATTTGCGCACCGCGATAGATCTCAGTAGAGGCTCTACCGCCAAAAGACATCACACTCTAGTCTTGGCTATTGCTGTCATTGGTGATTGGAATTGTGCTGTTTCTTTTCATCATGCCTGCAAGGTTTCTGGATATGATCAATCTCTGCTTATTTGGGATAATAGTGCAAGCCACGACCGCAGGTGAGTGCATTATTAATTCAGTTTGACCATCAGGTTTGATCCTTGTGACCCCAGGGTTCGCGACTGTCATTTCGGCAGCGAAGCCATTCCTGGGCCCTCGTGACCCTAGGGTTCATTCTGTATCGTCTATACTTGTCGCCAATTCGACGCGATACAGAAATCACCAATGAAAGGATCGATGATCAGTTACAGTGGCGAATTTTCGGATGAGAGCGAAGATCGTCGGTGGTGTCGACACAAACGACGCCGAATACCCATTCTTGGTTGGTATAAGCACTGAGGATGGCTTCTGCAGCGGCAGCATCATATCAAGGCGATATATCCTCACTGCTGCCCACTGCGTCGCCGACCTCAAAGCTTCAGATCTTCCTCATGTTTCCGTCCGGACCGGGAATTTGAGGTCGAGAACATCAGGCGGCAATGTTTATGGGGTCGAGGAGATAGGCATTCATAAGGGCTTTGAAAATAACGGCAATTTTCCACACGACATAGCGATTATAAAGGTTAGTTTGAAGAAGATTTATGTTTTATTAAACCCGAACAAAGTAACCAATGCAGGTAGCACTGAATTGCCAATTTGGTAATCATCTTGCGGACATGAAAGGATCTTAGGAGTTGAACATAGGAGGGATACAGTCATAAGGGTCACGCGGAAGAGAGGAGAGGGACTATAGGGTCAAACAAACATGAGAGTCAAAGGAGAGAAACAAAAGGGGAACAAAACGGTTGTAAGGGCCTAATGCAAAATAAAGAGTGAAGTGGTCATGAGGGTCTTAGTGAGGTATTGGTGACCAATATTGGGACAATGTTGGTTGTCAACGTTGAGGCAATGTTGGTTGCCAACGTTGGGACAGTGTTAGCAGCAAGCTTTGGTCAATGTCTATGAACCATTGAATTCACTTTGAAAAATTGCGAATTCATTAGCAAAAGTATATATTGACCAATTGACCATATTTTGATGAATGCAATATTCCACTTGTTTCCATTGACCCCTACGATTGCTGCGTCGGTCTCCCACCTGTCCCTCACAATTATTTGACCCTTAAATCGTTCCTCTTCATCCCCTCTTCACTTCTAAGATCGTTTCACTCCCGCAATAAAGTGATTACCGAATTGGCAATGATATCCTCGAATTGGGATTCCCCTGTATCTGTGATCAGCCCAGCCAACTCATCGATATTTTTTAGGTGAATACGACAATCAAGTTTGATCGATATACCCAGCCAATTTCATTATCGGAATCGGTACCCCGTGTGTCTAACAAGGTAACTGTTGTCGGTTGGGGACGCATTGCCCCGTTGAATCGCACTCCCCCGCGAAAACCACAGAAGGTGGACGAGGTAGTGATCTCACGGAAAAGCTGTGCCAAAGTTCATCGGCCAGATCCCATTGACAGAACTCATATTTGCGTTATGGGAAGCAGACGATTTGGAATCTGCGCTGGAGACAGTGGGGGTCCAGCTCTCTTCAATAACGCACTCGTTGGAATCACATCGTTCAGCGGTCCCTCGTGTGCACGCGGCGTCCCGGATGTCTTCACCAGTATCCCGTATCATCTTGAGTGGATTGATAATACCATCAGGGAGATGAACACATTTTCGACGTAACTCGTCACCACTTTTATATCGTTCATCATTCTTTCCAGTCATTTCCCAACGGTTCACGATAGAAGATCAAATGAAGATCTTCAAAGTTTGAATAAAAAAATTACTGCAAAATGGTTGATGATCTTCGAGATGAACACATTTTCGACGTAACTCGTCACCACTTTTATATCGTTCATCATTCTTTTCAGTCATTTTAGGTGATTCCAGAGATATTCCGAATCTCGTCTGATCTCATTATTTAGTGGCGATGTAAGTTTTTGGAATAAAGAATTTGTCGTGATTTTTTAATTTCTGAAGGGTATTTTTTGGCGGAATTAAGAGGAGAGAGAGGAGGAAAGGTCTTAATTGATTTTCTTATCATCGTTTTGTTTGAAAAAAAATTGGGGACATTGATTAGTTAAATTAATTTTCAATTGATTTAATTAATTTTCTCTGGCTTAATTTGTTTGATGTGTAATGATTAATTTTCAACTAATCGTAACAAATTAACGAATTATTCATTTTGAATTATTATTGATTATTAATTAATTAATTAATTTGTTTTGATTATTTTTCAATTAAGTTAATTAAGTTTCTGTGGTTTCATTTGGTTGATTTGTAATGATTTAGAACATTGGGTTAATGAAGAAACCCCTAATGAGGTAGACAAAACGTTGGGCCATCACAAAGAATTCTTCAACTTCAACTTTATTTCTACGTTTATAAAATTGCTGAAGATCGCTTAGGCCAACCGGTTGTCATCTGAATTTTAAAAATAATTACAACGATAACATAAAATTATTCAAAAAACATTGAATATAAATTCCCGAAAAAATGTGTTTAACAATGAAAAATCCGAAAAAGTGTGGAGATGGCAGGATTTTCGACAAAATTTGATTGAAAGCTTGATTGAACAAAATTTCAAATGAATTTTTCGTTTAATCTCTGTCGTTAACACAGGTCTATCATTTTTAGAATTCATTGACATCAATGCGTCGACGAGAAAAAAAAGTCGACGATTAGTATTGGATTAAATCAGCCACGCCTAATTCAGTGAGTGAAAGTGATTCCATAATACTCACTCATCCCAAAATGACAAGCCCTATGAGACGTAATTTCGGTGCGCAATTAATAAATACGTAATTTACGGTTACAGTTATTAAGCCGAATTGGGCTAATTTAATGCATGTCGTAATCCGCGATTAACACATTGCCAGACCTTTCACCGCAGATCACAATATTCCTGAAGAATCTTTTTTTCTGGAAACGCTGGTCAAAAGGAAAGCGAGGCCCATTAGTTTTATAGTTTCTGCCGGGACCATGGGAATCAGTTTCTATCGAACAGTGCTGTTGAACTGTGTTTAACGCGTTGACTTGGCATTTTCCTGACCATGCACGCATCGGAGTGGCTCCCGCAGATCAAGAAGTCGTCCTTAGTCGCCCTATTTTATCTCGCTACCGTATCTCGTGAGTACACACGTGTGACAAAAATTCATAGAAAAACCCAGCGAATTCGCTGGACAATTCCATTCGATTTCTATTGAACTGTCTATTAATTTTTGGCCGACTCCATTGACATGTTCAGTAGAAAATATTCTGTAGAAAAAGTCAATAGCATTGAGTTTTCTATACAACATATTTTATTAAAATATTTTCTGTATAATTTTCTCGGCTCAAATTGTCTGTTTTTTACTTGATTTTCTTGATAAAAAAAAATAAAAAAAGTAGAATGAAAAAAAAATGAAAATTTGAGCCGATGAAATTCTACAGAAAATATCTGAAGAGAATAAGTTATATAGAAACATCGAATTCTATTGGCTTTCTGTAGTGTATTTTCTATTAAAATTTCTATTAAATTGAATTATTATTCCATCATTTCATTTTTTCAGTCAAATTTTTTCGTGCGCGCACTGAGGGATAAACATATTCTCTCAAACAAGTACACGGAGAGAAATTTTCTAGAAAAATTCTAGTACGAGTACTGGAGAAAATTACAATCTACTGGCTGTGAAAAATTCACGTTTTCCCCAATAAAATTTCCAGTGCCGGCACTGTAATTTTTTCCTGGCCGTCACTGTGCGCCCCTTTTCCCGTGCTAGCACTGGAATTTTTCTAAAAAATTACGTGTATTCTTTGAATAAAAAAATCGTTAGTTGAAAATTACAAAAAAAATCTAGTGTTGACCGTTCGAAGACTATGTTAGGGACAAAATATTTTTTCATAAACTTCTCGAGCCAAAAATTTCGTTGTTGATGAAAGTAGAGGAATTATTCATGTTAGAGCCTTTGAAATTCGCCTCAAACAATTTCTTTTTCGGTAATTTTCAACTAGAAATTTGTTGGCGCAAGCAAGAGTCGTTTGAGAACTTGTCCGTTTTTCTCTGGGTGTACACCGTCGTGTAAAATGCAGAAAGAGTAGATGGAATATTATCTTCACAAAGGAGATAAGATAATTGTCGATTTTGCAGGGAGCTATGGCTCGGAGCATGAGAAAATAATCGGCGGTGTTGGAGCAGAAGAGGGTGATTTTCCGTTTTTGGTCTCTCTGAGTCGTTACGGCAGGCATTTCTGCGGTGGTAGCATCATAACGGAGATGCATATTCTCACTGCAGCTCATTGTATTGCTAGAGTGAGGCGTTCACAGCTTCGACATGTGCATGTGCGAACTGGGAGTTTGGAGTGGAAGAAGCGGGGGACGCTGCACCATATCGATAGTGTAAGACTTTTCCCGGGGTACGGACGACACGGGGCTTTTCGACATGACATTGCAATCATAAAGGTATGATGAATGTGGAATCAATGCTGTTGATGATAAGGATATCCACGTGTAGTCGAACATCAGAGCTTTTATTTCAGCTCCATTCGATCCCAAATTGCCGGGAATTTTGCAATGATTTTATTATTTAAACTTTCCAGCTCTGAACTTCCAGCTCGATATTGAATCGTTTGAAAATCGTTTGTATTTTGAAAGTTAGAAAAAAAAACGAGAAAGTTTAGATTTGGAAGAGGATTGATAAAGTAATTTAAAAAGATCAATTTTTTAAAATTACGAGCATTCTCTATAAATAATTTATGAACAGTAAATTTCTCTCTATATTATCAAAATCGAAATCGACTTCTGGTGATGAAAATTTGGTACTCGAAATTAAGGTTTCAATATTAAGGGTCGCAAGGTTCAAAATAAGGGCCGTAAGGGCCAAAATAAGGGTCATGGAGATTGGAGGAAAGGTTACGAGGGTCAAAATAAAGGTCGTGACCCTGGTGACCCTTGTAAAATATTCCATATTCCAATATTAAGGGTCGCAAGGGTCAAAATAAGGGCCATAAGGGCCAAAGTAAGGGTCATGGGGATTCGAGAAAAGGGTACGAGGATCAAAATAGAGGTCGTGAGGGTCACGAGGATCTGATTAACCGTCACATGGGTCCAAATAAGAGTAACAAGGGTCTAAATAAGGGTCACGAGGATCTGATTAAGCGTCACAAGGGTCAGATGAACGGTCCGAATAAGGGTAACAAGGGTCATCGTGGTCAGAAACCAACGGTTAAAAAATCAGGGTCACCAGGGTGAAAATAAGGGTTACGAGGGTTACAATAAGGGTCAGATTAACCGTCCAAATAAGGGTCACGGTCAGAAACTAAGGGTTGCAAGGGTCAAAATAAGGGGCGTTATCCAAATCGACTTCTGGCCACGAAAATGTGGTACTCGAAATTAAAACTCCAAAATTAAGGGTCAGAAATGAAGGTTCACGAGGGTCAGATTAAGGATCCAGATAAGGGTCATGGTGAGAAACTAAGGGTCACAAGGGTCAAAATAAGGGGTGCTATCCAAATCGACTTCTGGCCATGAAAATTTGCTATTCAAAATAAAAATCCTAAATTAAGGGTCAGAAGTGAAGGGTCATGAGGGTCAGATTAAGGTCCATAAGGGTCAGAATAAGGATAATGGGGGTCGTAGCCCCCTAGTTCCACCACAAAAATACGAATTTATTCTGTTTCCACATATTCTTAATGCCAGAACGAAAATTACTCCGAATTATCGTCTTTTCGCAGCTGAAATCGCCGATAAAATTCGACGAATACACAATGAGAATTCAACTATCGAAGTCAACTCCACCCGCGTGGTCACAGGTGACAGTCGCAGGCTGGGGAAAATTTGGACCCTCCGGTCGGAGCGTACCGCAGAGACAACAGACCGCGGATTTTGTGGCCATCCCCCGAGCGAAATGTCGCAGATCGTACGGATGGAAGATTGACGAGAATCATATCTGCATTAAGGCGAATCAAGGGGTGGGAGTCTGCTTTGGAGACAGCGGAGGTCCTCTTGTCTTCGGCGACCGACTCGTCGGCGTTGCTTCGTTCATCGGGGGAAAGTGCGGGTACAGCGGTCGGCCCGATGTCTTTGCAAGTGTTCCTCATCATTTCGAGTGGATCAAGAAAGTCATCAATGGATGAAACAGGATCTTTGTGCTTGTTGCCTCACACTTGTTAACTTCGTTATTTATTTTTGATTTAATGATTTAATGATTTGATTCAATCGATTATTAATCGTCCATTTTTTTTCTAGTCGACACATTTCCGATTTTTTTCGGGAAAATGAAACGATTTTTTTGCGGGAATTCCGGTTATTTATTCATTCAAAGCTAATGGGAAATTGTGTTCGCCGCAATGTGTTATATTTACTGTTTGTTAAGGAATTGTGAGAAATTTGTTGCTATGTAGAAATATAATCGTATTGAATTTTGAAAGTTGGAAGAAATTTTTCTTGTTCAGTCACTCTAACAGGTGTTAACCTAGTCGTTAACTCTGCTGTGTCCCAGATTATTGTACAAATATTATTGATTGATACAATTGAGAAAAATTAGGAGTCAGCATATCACACCGGACTCGACAGTTCATAATCGACTGACTTCGTTTTGAGGTCACTTTTAGGGTAGGGTGGGGTAAAATGGACACTTTAGACCTTTTTTAAATTATTCATAACTCAGAAATAAATTCATCAATTGAGTTGAGTTTAGGCTCGTCACAAAGGGAAAGAATTGTTCTTTGTATTGAAAAAAAAAAAAAAAATTAAATTCCATCAACATTTTAACCCCTCATTTTTAAAAAAGTCAACAGTGTCCGTTTTACCCCAACCTACCCTACATTTACTTTGTATTTTGTATCTGAGTAAAGCGTTACTCTTTAGTCAATCTATATAATAAATAAATAGGGGTCTTCAGGTAAGATTTTTCTGGGCCTAAATTTTCTCGGCCGGACGATCCCTCCAGGTGAATGGAATGGATTTCCTCAATATGGAATTCCCTCAATGGAGTGCTAAATTAAAACTGTTATACAACAGATATAAAATAGTTCTAGTAGTTCATTATTTTATATTAACTAAAAAATGTATTGATCTTGAATAAATACATTCTTCAATTATCAAAATTCTTTCATTTCAATTAATAAAAAAACACTTCCTAATTATTCCGTTGCCCAAATCCAACACGATTCAGTCGTTTTCCTGTTGAAATCGAAGTTCACTAGACCGAATTAATGAACCCCTCAGAATACTTCATCACGATCAAGGATTTGACCTTCGTCTGACGCACAGGTTATTTGATATGTAAATGTTGTATTCAATTTCAATGTTAGCATTGCTGACATACTCAAGGTTCCAGTATAATTTTATCAGTTGTAATCTGAATTTTATTCTGGATCAAACGAAGCGTACAAGATGGAGATGGAAACAGGAAATTCATTGGGACTGAATGAAGATTTTATTCTACATTTCCTTGAACGTGGAGACCATGAAGTACACTAATTCGATCATTGTTGAGGCTTCCAAAAGAACTAGAACTCCTCAAATTAATAAAAAATGAAAAAAAAAAAACTAAAATGAAAATTGAAAAAAATAAAATAGAAGATCAAAGAACTTCTATTTCTACCAATGTTTCAGAAACACTTGTGCCCTTCATCAGGGTAATGATTTATTTTGCACAAACAAAAATACAAGGAAACTCATAAAATACTTCGTTAATGCATTTGTTATTTATGGATTCTGACGGAATATTTATACTACTAGAAAAGGACCGCGCGCGTAATTAAGTTTGTGATTAATTGTATTTTTTTTTGTTTCACTTATTTTTGAAAATAATAAAAGTAACAATTAATAATTAATAAAAGTAAACAATCAAAGGAACATATTGTTTGATGCCTCTCTCCCATGACTTATTACAGTTAGAATTATATTATTTCACACTCAATAATTGCTTCATGTCACAAGATAACTAGATTGCTCCATAAAGTATCCAGATCCGAGTCCATTCATCGGTTAATCTTTGCTGAAGATTCTAGATTGTACAAAACTTTTTCTATCTCTTTGAAAAAATATATTTGCTAATTATATATTTTTTTCATAATAAAATAATAATTTTTTATTATTATGAATATTATTGTGAATAAAACAATTATAATCAGAAAATATATATTTTTTCAAAAAATTATAAAAAAAGATTCATGTAATCTAGGATCTCACAACAATCAATTTCTCTATGGCCCTCATTTAATTCAGTAGTGAAGCAGCAAAACAGTTTCAGTCAACTTAACCCTTAGCCAAGTTTCCGGGGAATATCTCCGAATCTGAGGAAAACTACGAAATTTTCGTAATAACCTTTTTTGTGGAGTTAATTAAGGGCTACAAAAAGGGTTATGACGATAAATTTGATATCTCCCTTACATTTCGAGATATTCATGGAAGACTGGTCACTACACAAATTGCCAACTTGAAAAAAAAATTACGGAACTGCTGGGGTTTGAGCCAGGGGTGACGTAGAGCTCGACAATGGGAAAAAATATTGGTCCAAGTATAATCACCTGCGAAGCACGTAAATATTATTGGCAATTGATAACCAAAACAACGCATTGATCCAGGAAACCGTTGTCAAAACAACTTGATGCATTTAAGTGTACCAAGATCACTGATAAACGGAAATGCTGATGCTTTCCCTGAAGATGAATAACAAAGCTTAATGAAAACCGCAATGTTTCTTCATCATTTAAAAATATTGCGAGCGATATAAAAGAAGAACACGAAATGCAGAACATCACAAACGACTATCTGACCAAAATCTCACGATGGCAAAGCTTCTGATCTTGATCCTGATGGCCTGCACATCAGGTAGGTTCCTGATGACTCCGGACATCACTCGTTTCGTCCCAATCTTTTAATAAACATTTTATTTAACTACGAAAGTGTCTCAATTTAACAATATCATGTGCTGAAGGTGCCCTCGCCAAACCGCCGAGAGCGATAAAGGGCGGCGATTTGGCTGCCGAGGGTGAATTCCCCTGGCAAGCTTCTCTCCAAAAATTTGGCAGACACCTGTGCGGAGGAAGCATTATCGACAAAAGTCACATTCTCACAGCAGCTCACTGCGTCCTGACCAGGAATTTGCACTCAGAGACTGGTCTAACGATCCTGGTGGGCACCAACAATAAGGATCAACGATCATCAAACATCTTCAGGGTTAAGCGTATTCAAGCACATGAGAAGTACATAGGAAAGGCGCCTTACCGATACGACATAGCTGTCATCACGGTACGGTAGCTTGAGAAGAAATTGTAGTAATCAGTGGTTTCATTTTATTTCATAAAGATCCAACAGCACAAGGCCAATTGCAGGATCAAACTACAGTCTACATACAATATAAAAATGAAACCATTAATCGATAAAATTTGGCAAAGCTGTCATGACGGAAAGCACCACTAAGATCAAGCAATCCAGAAAGCTATACGGCCAAGTATTCCATCCATACAACTTGCATTATTTTAACATATTTTTATTTCGCAGTCATTCCCCAGTGTTTTTTTTTATTTTTTTTTATTTATGCATTTTTTTCATGCGAAAGGTTCCGAGTTCAAAACCTGGCCGGGTAGAATGGTGAGAATCTAACCATTTAACGCCTTGATCATCATCGCAGCATACCCTAACCGGGTCGAAGCGATGTAAAATAAAAAATAAAAAAAAAGCTATTCTGAACAATTACAGTTCAATTTGCATACATATTTTCGGTTATAAACCTAAGACCATGTGAACTGTGTACAGATGTGGTAGCTTAGAACTATTAACAATACACTTCAAATTTTTATGGAACATTCGACAAGAAACTCGTTGATTATAACAAGACATTTTTTATCTAGTCAAATCAGGAATTCCCGTGCATGATATGGTGGGAAAATTAGATGGTTCATAAGCAGTGATCAGTGAGTTGAGAGATAATTTTGTCGTTTCTATTCGCAATGTTTCAGTTGACGACGCCAATTGAATTCAATAGACTTCAACGGGTGATAGATTTACCTACGAGAGACGCGGATGTTGGCGAGGAAGGTACTATCAGCGGCTGGGGTGTCACCGACTACCCCTCTCGGCAGTCCGGCAGTCCAGCACAGCTGATGAAGATGAAGAAGAAGGTTGTCAGCAACGCTAGCTGCAATCAGCAACACCGCAGCATGATCCACCCTGAGCATCTTTGCGCCTTTTCTCGAAACGGACAAGGGGTTTGCCACGTAAGTTCATGATTCCAGAGAATCTCTTTTTTGTGATGACGCAAGACTTGACGGTCTCGAATTGTTTCCAGGGCGATAGCGGTAGCGGTCTCGTCGTCAACGGCAAAATCGTTGGCATCGCTTCCTGGGTGAGACCTTGTGGTGTCGGATATCCAGACGTCTACACCAGAGTCTACTCCTATAGAGCGTGGATCGCGCAGAAAATCGCTGATGATCCATGAAGTTTTGTAATTGAGTGGCTAATCCATAAAATGATACAATAAAGCATTATGATTTGACCAAATTCATGAACGTTCAGTCATTGGTTGTCGCGAGGGAAATACAAGTGAATGGAATTCGTAGAAAATTGTCCTTCAGGTCTGAGATTCCTCGGTGGAAAAGGGAATCATCAGCTGAAGTGATACCACACGTCGGTCAAATAAGCGTCACTGAAAAATATAAGCATCCGAAAGTTGTTTTCCGAGTACTCATCCGGTTGTGATGCAAATGATCATTATCATTTGTGTGCCGAATTTTGATGCGAAGTTATCGGGGTTGATAAGCAAGCGAGGAGAAGGCCGGATGAATGGAATTGTGAAATATTTCGCAAATACAAACGACGAAGGTCACCTAAACTTGACGCTTTGCCTGGTTTATTTCCGATTGCGGCAGATGATATAAAAGGTGATTACAAAATGAAGAGATCATTCATAACGAAAGAGGATCTAGATAATCCTGAAGAATGGAGAGACTTCTCGTCGCTATCGTGATCGCTTGTGTGCCATGTGAGTTGATCATCACCTGTACCAAATATCGTTAGAGCACCGATAATGATTTGTTAAATTGTTTTTTTATTGGTTCATTTAAGATCGCTGTATGGCAACTCAGGTCTTAAGCAATTTGGTGAAAATGTACAAATTATTACAAAAAGGATTTTTGTTATTTAATATAAATTTGAAGTAGCGAAGTGGTGAAACGGTTCAAGTTGATTTATCCCCCAGCTGAGTTTTTGATGAATACTTGCGAATCTAAGGGAGATTGATCAACTCTACTTGATCAGTCATGTTCAACTCTATCATTCGTTGATAGTTAACGAATCTCGTTTGGAATAAATGAATCATTCTATTAGTCTGATCTCCTTTCTGGGTGGAATTGTTGACATTCAGGTTGTTAAATTTGTTAAAGGCATCTTTGCGAAACCTCCGAGTGCAATCAAAGGTGGTGACGCAGCTGACACTGGTGAATTCCCGTGGCAAGTTTCGCTTCGCATGGATTACACTCATGTCTGCGGTGGTAGCATCATTGATGATCGTCATATTCTCACAGCAGCCCATTGTGTTCAGGAGGAGGACGGACGCTTATTCAAAGGAATGAGAGTTTTAATAGGTAGTAACAACGCCCGTCAATGGTTCCCCAAGACCCACAAGGTGAAGAGTCTCCATCCACACAAGAAATACAGACAGGTGGAGCCCTATAGATACGATATTGCAATCGTCACGGTACGGCATCGTCGCAGATTAGTCGGATTCGTCTGCTGTTGATAGCCTCGTCATTTGGTCTATTCGTAATGTTTCAGTTGGAAGAACCAATCGAATTCAATGACCGCCAAAAACCGATAGCATTGCCTGAGAAAGATGTGTCCATCGGTGATGAGGTTACGGTCAGTGGCTGGGGACACACTAATTGGCCTGCCGCGATGAAGACCTATCCAGTCACGTTGATGAAGATGGAGAAGAAGATCGTCAGCAATAGCCGTTGTATGAGGGACCATCAAAGTGTCATCTACCGTGATCAGCTTTGTGCTTATGGTGGTTATGGAAAAGGCGTCTGCTCTGTAAGTTCTTTTTGGCTTTTGCTTCTCAATGGGAACATTGGATTCGTCGAGGGAAATATTCAGTAAAAATTACGGAACGATTCACGTAATTCGCGGTGGGGAATCGTTTTCCGGCGATTTTTATGGGAATGTTCAGGAAAATTCAGGGAAGTCTCAGGCTTATCACCGAATAAAGTGCCAAATTGTCACGTAATTTTTCCCGAAGAAGGAAAATCTTACAGACACTTGTAGACTTATTGTGCCTTCTTGAACGTTCAACAATTTTTATGAAGCTGGTGAGTCATTTCTACGTTCCGTTCCGTAAAATTTCTCAATCGTTGGGAAAAAATTACGGAACGACGTGTTCTCCCCACAGCGGTGAGTCATCAGACGAGTGACTAATTTTTACGGAACAGATCGTAGACCTTACGTGGCGATTCGTACAATTTTCGTGTCGACTCACACTTTTTATTGAATTTTACTTCGCTCGCGGATTAAGTTTTGAAACGTAATTTTTACTTTTTTTCTGGTAATTTTTATTGATGTTTTCCCTTCGTGTCCAAAATTTTAATTTTTTTGTGTCAAGATAAGGAATTTCAGCCTCAGAAAGTCGTCAGAGAACATCCATTCGGAGCAATTTGCCAATTTATAAACAAAAATTGACTGTATTGTGAAGAAATTAATTTCCCATTGGTCTTTTCTGTGAGACTGCCGTTTACGGTTGGGGAGCGGCTTAATTAATTCTTGTGGATTTTTCAGGGCGACAGCGGTAGTGGCCTCATCTACAATGGCCAAATCGTTGGCATTGCTTCCTGGGTGATGCCTTGCGCTGTTGGATATCCGGATGTTTACACTAGAGTATATTCTCATAAAGATTGGATCGCTAGGATAATCGTTGATAATTGATGGAATTTTGTAATTTAATAAATTATTTGAAAAAGATATTGGCATACTAATTTTTTTTGTGAATTTCGGGGTCTTAATTCCTTTTAGGCTGGGAAAAATCGCATTCTGTTAATTTTTTCTATAAAAAAGTTTTTATTGAACGTTCTTATTGAAAACAACGCAAAGATAAAACAGAAAAGTCGTAGAAGGTTTTAATGGAAATGGAGGAAAACTAATAGGTTTCAATAAAATTTCGATAGAAATTCACAATGTAAGATAATTGGAGATATTATTTTGTTTTCAAACATTACGTGATTCCTCAGTAAAATTATGAATAAGTGCGACCAATTCTTGTAGAAAAAACAAGCGAATTCGCTACAAGAATTTTCTACGTTTTTTCAATTGAAATGTTCAGTGGAAAATTTTCTGTAGGAAAAAGTTAACGGAATTAGATTTTTCTATTAAATTTATTCAAATGAGATATTTTCCACAGAAATTTCGCGGCTCAAATTTTCCAGGTTTTTTTGTTTGATTTTTGAGTCAAAAAAGGATAGAGTGAGAGAAAAAATTAGCTCTGCCGAAAAATCATGTATTCAACGTGAATATAAAAATCTATCAATTTTTTTCTATCAAATATCTTACAGAATCAGCGCAAAAAGCAAATAGAATTTTACCGAAAATTTCCTAGAATTTTAAGGACCTATCCAAGAATCCCAATAGAATTTCTATAGAATTCCAACAGAATTTTCTAACGAATTTACCAAGTTTTTGAATTGGTAGAGGCTCATATAATTCCCTGTAGAACGAATGTGTAATGTCGCAGGAGAGCAATTACTGCTACGAAAATTATCATGTCCTGATGGAAACATTTTTTCTGTGCAACTGACGCAAGAGAATAAAAACAATCAATTGGAAGTACCAGGATTTCACTTTGTAAAACTGAGATGAGCAAGACAAATCTAATGAATAAATTCGAAAATTTCAATTTCTAGGAAAAAAAAGGAAATTGAGGAAAAGAATGGCTTGTTGGGAAAAAATGGGTAATGCCATTTACTCCTCCAATTATCTCGGTGACAAGTGCTGCTCGTTATCACGATATTTGGAAAACAAAATTGATTTGACGAATAACGGAATAACGTGATTTTTATTGAATATTTCTCTCCGTGCACCTTTTTGTCTTAGCTACCCCCCCGCTTAACCCCGGTCTCCCCTACAGTTGTGGAATGTAAAAATATGGGTGATGTCACTGTGGATTAAAAAACAATAGCAATGTAGGAATCCGCAAATATCTCACGTGCGGCCTGACATACCAGAGATTTACACTGAACTCCGCGTAATAAACACTTGCACTTTCGAAGACTCGGGGCCAGTGATTCCACGAATTCTCAATATTCAACTTCGTCTGACGCCTTCAGTATCACGTCGAAATTCCAAGTAAAGATCCTAGAAGAATTTTTCTTGTGCTGATGTAATTTCAGCAGCGAAGCGGTAAAACGGTCCAAGTCGACTCAACTCTCAGCTGAGTTTTTGAGGCATATCTCCGAACCTAAGAGAAATAGCCAAATTTTTGTCATTACGTTTTTCGTAGCTCTAAATTCACTCTCCAAAAAAGGTTATAACAAAAGTTTTCCAATCCCCCTTAGATTCCGAGATATTCATTGAAAACTGACCAATAGTACAGATCGACTTAAATCGGTTTCCCGCTTCGCTGCTGATTTCACAGGCATTTTCATGAAAAAAGGGTCAAATTCGTTGAATTGAAGTTGATGTTCCCGTTTTTTGGGATAATTATTAAATTTAGAGATTACAGAAACAGTCGTCATCAGCAGTTCTGAAGACTTGCATCAAGCGGGCTATTAGAACCAACAATGGAACTCGGTAGAATTGAACTGATACTGTGCCTAGTAGTCTGCGCTTGGGCACGTATAAGCTATAAGACATCGCCCAAATTACTGTTTCATCGTCACTTCATTCATGATGTAGGCGAAGCGGGAGGGAAATGTGTACTTTGCGCTCGCCGTGACGGAAAAATAGTTTCGGTGATTGAACAACAGTGAGTTTCGAGACCAACTTTTGGGTCATGACTTTGACTTGAGTCTGGAAAATGGCAAAAACTTCATGCAAGTTTCTTGCTATTTACAGTCCAAAATGACAGATCTCCGACGGAGATCATCGACGGCGTGGATGCAGAACCAGGGGAGTTTCCCTGGGCTGTGTCCTTGCAGATTAATAGCCAGCATTTATGTGGAGGAACTATTATCAGTGAGTTTCACATCTTGACTGCAGCGCATTGCTATGTTGAGGATACGACAGTCGAGGTAAGTGACCTTTGGAACACCAGAATCATCACGGGCACCAACGATCGAGAATTTCGAAACGCATCCAATATATTCAACCTTGAGGGAGTCTTTGTGCACACCCCCACCCTGGGAAACCCTCTCCACCATGATCTTCTGATTTTGAAGGTAAAAATTCAATCTGCATCCAAAAAGAAGCAATGATTCAAGTAGTCCAGAGCTTCATTTTAAGATATATTGTAGGGGAAGGCGGGGTAAAGTGAAATGGCCACCATTTTCATTGTTTAAGGGCAATGAGTCTTGAGGGTCAAACGGGAGAGACGCGCGAAGTGATCAGATGAGTCAAATTTTTTTAAAGTTCAAATGGGGTAACTAGGTGAGGGGTCAAGAGGGTCAAACTGAAGAGAGTGGCGAAGTGATCACTCCACTTATCTCTCCCATTTGACACTTCATCATTTTTTTAAGTTATCTGAATATTTCCTCTACATTTGCCTCGCATTAAATTCAATTAATAGTTTTTTTGTGAGAATTCAAATTATTGAAATCAATGTGAAAAACCTCAAATTGTGTGAAAGCAATGATTAAACCTTGATAATTGTTAAGAACTTAGAGGAGGAAGGTGCATGGTGAAACATAGGGTGAAGTGGAATTGCACAAATTCCGTTCTTTAGGGGTCAAATAGTCTTGGGGATCAAATGAGAGAGAGAGAGACAGACGAAGCGATCAACTGCCCTCGTCTCTCCCATTTAGTCCTCAAGAAAATTTGACCCTCCAACCGTCTCTCCCGTTTGACCTTCAGGACTGTTTGACCCCAAAGAACACTCGACCCCTCATCATTTGGTTTTTTCAGTAACAGAGATGGAAAAAAAATTCCCTGAATTTAGCTCTACTTTTCTTTTTCGCTACTGTTTCTCTCTGTCTCGCAATCGATTACTTGAATGATTATTCACTTGTGTGATTGATATAACTGAATCTCTCAGTTGGACGGACCCATTCCCTTCAACCGTTTCCGACAACCAGCCAAACTACCAAGCGGACCTCCGTCCATCGAGGGCGAATAAGGGTACGAATAAGCGTGATAACGAAGGCTAGATTAAGGGCCATGAGGGCCAGGTTCAGGGTCACAGGGGTCAGATTAAGGACATGGAGGTTGGCGAGGAGAGCATGCAGACCCGAGTCCTTCCTCGAATTTGTTAGATATCCCAGAATTGTCGCGAATCCACTGGTAAACAGTGAAGACTCCCATTGGAATCTGCTGAGTAGTTTTCCCGTGAATCGCGGGAAATGAAACATACCCAAGATTTGTTGTATGCAAAGATTAGAGGGCTATTGGTCATGTCGAAGAAAGCCGGACATTGCCGACTTTGAAATGTATATAAGAGAGAACGAAAGCATGAAGCGTTAGTTTTCCCGACAGGCCATAAGGACAGTGGCTCATTAATTATCCAGAAACTATGGGATGCAAGGGAACTCAGTTGATGCTGTACTTGGCAGTGTGCATTACTGGTGAGCAACCATACGTCCGCAAACAAGTGGATAATAGCATTTTTTTATGAATGACTATAGTTATTGTTCCTAATGAATTAACAATCTGCTGCCAAATGGTTTTTTTCTTTTTTAATTCTTCTTTCACTGTTCTCTTCTTCTATTTTTTCATGTCATAGTACTGTCATCAACTGAAATGTCATCAAAATTTTGGTGCATCATTCCATTCTGTTCGATTTTGTATGAACAATTGATTTTTAGTCGGTGTCAATGAATGGAGCTTATTAAAGTTTACATTTATGAAAAAAATCATGAAATTCGATTGATCCCCTCTGCGAAAAAAATGAAGGAAAAAGACCAAATACATATATTTAAAAATCGCATTATCGGACTTTTCAGGCCATATTTAGTGACCCTAACACAAGACATTGAAAACTCAAATTTGAACGATTACACTGCTGGAAATTTCTTGAAATTTCCGTCACAATGTCATCTGAATTTTCAATGTTGTGAGTTTGAATTCAATTTCATATGAAAACGTAGACTAAATTTCTCATTCATCTTGAAAATTCAAGAAGCTTGTTCAATTGATTGTTCAATGAAAGCTTGAATTTTCAAACTCATCGTGAAAATTGACCATTCATCAAGACTTACTACTCTCTTCCGGATTGATTGCCGCACTCTTCGCCTCACGAGCGCATTAATTGCATATCCGCCACAGTATTTCGGCTGCTATCAACCCAAGAGAGTCCAGATTAATATTCGGTAATTGTTCTCAGCTGGAAATACCCAGAATAACGAAAAAATAGTGAACGGCCAGACTGCCTGGCCCGGGCAATTTCCGCATCAGGTCTCACTGCAGCAGAGAAAATCCCACTTCTGCGGAGGAAGCATCATCGACGCCACTCACGTACTGACTGCGGCGCATTGCGTTATCGATGAGTCTCTCCAGGTTTTTCGACCTCAAGAACTCCAAGTCGTCGCAGGCGTTGTAGATCACCTAGCCGCCAAGCAATCAAACACATTCGCAGTCGCTGCGATCATTCCGCATGAATCTTACAATCCAAGAGCCCTGACTAATGATATCGCTATTTTGAAGGTGAATATGGTACATTAATTAAGGTTGCTCAATCCCTGGTAGAATACATAACCGAAGTTAAGGCCTGAGTGGATCATCTTTCCAACGTGATCTCGGTTGTTCTTTTATTTTGATAATCTGAAATGATCTCCAATTGACATTCAGTTTTACGCAGCCCTGGAGTCTACAAAAATTATAATTGTCCATCAAGAAAATGGTAAAAACAAGCTGAACATTTTTAAAGAGCGTTTTTGACTAATACTGGGAAATAAACCCAATAGGGAGAAAATTGCAAATTGATAATTTCGTCTAATCATCAAATCTAATGGCTGTTAGGTCGTCATTTGTCACAGTAGTCAATAATCTGGTCACTAAACGCGACCCTGCGACTTGGTCACCTCCGCGGGGATTCGCCGCCGCGTTATTTAGGCTTCAGCGTTGCCGAATTCACTCTACACTGCCCGGGTACGTTTAGCGAGTTTCCGGCAACGTCGCGTAATGGGCAACTTCATTTAACGCGGGAAAAAATAATTCATCTGTCCGAAATAATTTGTTTTCTTCAGGAATTTTGGGAAATATGTTGTTCTAAAAACTACTGTAATTTTTTAGGCCTTTAATTGACAAAGTCAATTTTTTTTCAATTTTTCCGGTTAGCCAGTCAATTGCAATTAAAGACCCGTATAGGGTGACCAATACAGGGTTAATCTTTATTGAAAACACTCTTCGAAAATGTTCAGTTTTTTTTCTACTTTTTTTGATTATACAATCATAATTTTTAGATCAAATCCAATGGAAATGTCAATATATTTCACATTAGGAAGATGGAAAAACAATCGAGATCGCGTTCGCAAGATAATCTCCCCGGGCTTCAATAAAAGAAAATATTTAATAAGAAAAAAAATACTTTGTTCGATCTGTTGTTTTGTTAAACCAGATCGACGTCTTTCTTCTTCTGTGAATCGTGAAACCGATGATTTTAAATTGAATTTTGCAGTTGGCTCGACCCATTACTTTCAATGCGCTGCAAAAACCAATTCGCTTGCCACGCGGGGACACTCCGTCCGGTGCACAGGCCACAGCCAGCGGCTGGGGAGCTACATGGACAAATTTTGCTGGGCTGCCTGGCCCCTGTCCACGATATTTGCAACAACTTCGGATGATGGCTCTCAGCTTGGACGAATGCAAAAGCCTTAATGACGATCGAATTAGTCCTGGCCAATTGTGCGCTGTGCGTCCCACAGGATCAGGAATATGTTTCGTACGTATCCTCAATATTAGATTTCCAGATACAGATCCAATAGAATTTTCTAACGAATTCACCAAGTTTTGCTATTCAATTTCTCTACAATTATTTTTTATAATCTTCATGACTGTTATTTACCGATGGAATTGTTCGTCGTATTTTGCTCGATAATTTCAGGGCGACAGTGGGGGTCCTCTCATCTACAAAGGTGAAATTATCGGCGTCAGTTCCTTCGTAAAGGGTGGATGCGCCTCCCCAAACGCCGATTTCTTCACACGTGTTTTCAATTATATACCGTGGATCAACGACGTCTTGACACGCCAATAATCACTGTTTCCTCTGAATGGTTTTGATTTCTCTTTAGATAAGCCTTATGTATTCTTTTCGATCTGTGGAACTAAATGCTCTTGCTCAAATACTGTTTCCATGTTCGTTTTATTGACTAATAAATCAGCAAAATGCTTCCGAATGGTTATTGCGCACATCATTTCCTTATGTCATGTACCATTCATTGTTTATTTTATTTTATTAGTTTGAATGACATTTTTTTCAACTAATTTATTTTTAACACCATTATTGTCTTTTTTACGGTTCTATCTGCCCCCTCAGCCCTTCGATAAAATGTTAATAGAAAAAATTTATTCTATTAAAAACTGTCAAAGAGCTACTTTCAGAGAAATTCATGAAAAATTCGAAACTTTTAACAATCATTATAAACATCAAATCAACCAATATAGCTATCGTAATCATCTTTTATGTTCGCCTTGATAAATGAATCATTCTATCAGTGCACCAGAATCATCACGGGCACCAACGATCGAGAATTTCGAAACGCATCCAATATATTCATGTCTACTGAACTCATTTCTTACATTGGCTTCCAGCGAAACCCTCCCAAGCATGATATTATTATTTGGAAGGTAAAAATTCAATCTGCATCCAAAAAGAAGCAATGATTCAAGTAGTTTAGAGCTTCATTTTAAGATATATTGTAGGGGAAGGCGGGGTAAAGTGAAATGGCCGCCAATTTCATTGTTCAAGGGCAATGAGTCATGAGGGTCAAACGGGAGAGACGCGCGAAGTGATCAGATGAGTCAAATTTTTAAAGTTCAAATGGGATAACTATGCGAGGGGTCAAGAGGGTCAAACTGAAGAGAGTGGCGAAGTGATCACTCCACTTATCTCTCCCATTTGACACTTCATCATTTTTTTGAGTAAGACAGATGGAAAAAAAGTTATCTGAATATTTACTCTACATTTGCCTCGCATTAAGTTCAATTAATAGTTTTTTTGTGAGAATTCAAATTATTGAAATCAATGTGGAGAACCTCAAATTGTGTGAAAGCAATGATTAAAATCTTGATAATTGTTAAGAACTTAGAGCAGGAAGGTGTATGGTAAAACATCGGGTGAAGTGGAATTGCACAAATTCCGTTCTTTAGGGGTCAAATAGTCTTGGGGATCAAATGAGAGAGAGAGAGACAGACGAAGCGATCAACTGCCCTCGTCTCTCCCATTTAGTCCTCAAGAAAATTTGACCCTCCAACCGTCTCTCCCGTTTGACCTTCAAGACTGTTTGACCCCAAAGAATACTCGACCCCTCATCATTTGGTTTTTTCAGTAACAGAGATGGAAAAAAATCAGAATCAGAAAATGAGAATCAGATTCATAAGGGCCACAGGGGTCCGAATAAGCGTGATAAGGATATCGAAGATTAGATTAAGGGCCATGAGGGCCAGGTTAAGGGTCACAGGGGTCAGATTAAAGATATGGAGGTCGGCGAGGGGAGCGTGCATCCAACCAGATGCATAAAAAAATCTGATTACATGCACATAAAATTAATTTTTCTTTTCTGTAGAGTCACGCTTCGTTAAATTTCTTTCCTAGTGATCTCGACATGTACAGTTGGACGAATAGCCCCCAGATTCTCATTTATTGCGTTCACATTGCGTTGAATTCACATCATTCGGTATCGAGTTTGCAGATCCTTCTGAGAGAAATAATTGTAACATCGTCACAGGTGGGTTAAACCAGAATTTTTGAACTATTTATATCAAGGGCATTTGTTTACGTGTGAAGGGAGTCAGTTATCGCCTCCCAATTTTGTACTTCCACTTTTCTCATGTCAAACTTCATTAAAATATAATAATTTTGGGGTTTATCGCATTTTGTAGAGTTGATTAAAGCCTCTTATTTTCACTTTATAGTGAAATTCATTATGGTTCGTTCATTATTGGAGTAAAATTCAAATTTCTCGAACCAAAAATGTACACGGAGAGAAGCATTCAATAAAAATTACGTATCTTTTCCGTAATTCCACGGCGCAATGTGGTTGTAAGAAATTTTCCGGAGCTGTCACGTAATTTTTACCTAAAATCACGGCGTTTTTCCACAGCGTTCCGTAATTTTTAACCCGAATCTCCTGTGAAAAATTACGATACCGTCACTTAAATTTTCTGAGTCGATTCCGTAATCGGTGAGTGAACTGTGAGGTCCGTAATTTTTACTGGCCATTTCTCTCCGTGTAGCTTTTTGGTCTTTCTTTAGCCTAGAACAGACATCCTTTGGTAGCAAAATAGGTTTGCGAGCGTTGAAAAATGATAAGGCAGGCTGCAATTGGTGTAAACATCCGCTTGAAGAGAGTCAAGGTATAAAAATGATGGTTTATTGGAACAGGTACCACCAGAATCATGAGGGAACTTGCGGGCCTCCAGTTGTTGACGCTGGCTGCCTGCATGTCCGGTGAGATACGAAAAAGTGATGGAAATTATTATTCCTCATTGAACAATATACAATAATATTGCCATCCAACAATCACTCCCAGTTGTATATGCAAGAGGCGCAACGAAAATTGTCGGCGGTCAAAACGCCAAACCCGGTGAGTTTCCGTATCAAGTGTCAATCCGAAAGTTCAATCGACACTGGTGTGGAGGTAGCATTCTGGATGCCACTCACATTTTGACGGCAGCGCACTGTTTCGTTTCCGATGAGAAAGTTGCTGATAATCCTTCCGCCCTTCAAGTTGTCACCGGCACCATCTATTCGGAGGACCTACGACCGGATAACGTATTCGCAGTTTCTCGAGTCATTGCTAACGACTATTACACACCACATGAACGTAACAATGTCGCTTGGCTCGCTGATATTGCTGTTTTGAGGGTAAGGACACTATTCTGATATCTTTTAGGGTGACCGATATTATTCGTCGTGACCTTCAAGGTTACGAAGATCATGAACATCAAACTCTGTGGAGACAGAAGCTCCTGCACAGGCTTGTTTTGATCTCCTAAGCAAGCTCTATTGACTGTTGACTGACACTTCGTTTAAATCAGCTGGTTCCAGATGAGAGACTTTTGAAAGTCAAAATGAATTTTTGAAAAGTGCCTCTCCGTTTACGAGTAAACGAGCAAAAACGCATGATTCTGTTCAAAACTGGATAGTTCCAAAACTGTGTGTAGCTTCAATTTTTTATGCGTTTTATAATTTTTCATGCATCAGAATTTATTGACAGAAAGGCCCCGTGCGCGAGGGGTTAAGATCATCAATATTATCAACAAAATCAGCATCGTCATCATCACGCATGCGCGTTTTCTTTCAGACATGTCGGTACAAACGTGTGATATCTCCTTTTTATATAAGAGATTGGTCCTCGCTCATCTTGGTCAATTCCGAAATGAATTCGATTGCCCTTTGCAGTTGAAAGAAGCGATGCCTCTAGACCGTAATCTTCGCTGGCCCATCAGCCTGCCAAGCAGCCCCACACCTCCTCGTACACGGGTCATGGTGAGCGGTTGGGGGACATCATATTTCGACACAAAAGGTGCTAAAAGTGTCACATGGCTTCAAAAGCTACGCATGGAGACCATCAGTCTTGCTGCGTGCCAAATTGCTCTACCCTATCAAGTCAACGTCGGACAACTCTGCGCTGTAACCCCCCGTGGTCATGGTATATGTAACGTAAGTTTGTTTTCTGGTGACATTGACCAGAACTGTTCACCAAGTACTTTTCGACGGCAGGGCGATAGTGGTGGCCCTCTGGTTGACGGCAATCGAGTTGTCGGAATTGTCTCCTGGCTGATCCGTTGCGGCGACGGACGACCCCAGGTCTTCACTAGTGTCTATGACTATCTTAACTGGATCCACTGGGCTCTGAACTCACAATGATAAGAATATTGCGCCTTTTTGTTCATTAGATAAATGAATAAATGAATCATTCATCAATATTTCATGATCAACTGTTTTTGGTAAATATTAGATAAGGTGAATTCTTCATTCTTGAATTACCTCTGCAGCAAAGAAGGCTAGATAACTTCGACTGTACATGATAGTTTGTGAGTAGCTATTGTACTCACTTGGTTCACTGATATTTTTTCCCCCAAATTTTTCCGTTGCCAAGAGGATGGGGTAGGGACATTAATCATCTATCCCACCTGAACTTAAATTTCTTATAATGGAACGAATAATGGAACAGTGGAAGAAAATATTGTATAAACGTATTGCAAGTAATTACAATATCCATTGTCACTTCTGAAGACTGCAGTTAAATTTATTCTGGTGTGAGTGATAATAGATGCATGAGGTCGCCAGGAGAATAGAGCAGTCTGTTTTGTGAGTAGCCAAGCAGTTGATGAATATTTAACCATGTATCATCCAATTACAGGATGATAAAGGCGGTCCTCCCGTGATAATTCTTCCGTTGATGGATGGAATGGGCCAAGCGATTTTGATAATCAATTTACTGTATTGTGGATTACATTTATGATTATTCAGAACTTAATATATGCCACATGTCAAATTAATACGTGAGACATGTTTTTGACAGCTTTCTCTCCCTTCAAATTGACATGAAGTCAACGTCGGATGATAATTCATGATGAATGGTTATCATTTGACCTTCTGAGCATTGAGCATGTGCACGCAATGTTGATGGAAACGATATTTTATTCACACAGCTGTAATGCTCATGTGTTCTTTTGCTAATCTCAGCAAATTGCGTTCAAGGACCGACGAATACAATTCACTTATAAATTCAGAACCCAGACTGTGGGGGTGCGGAAGACAACGACAAGACCATCGACATAAAGCATCAGTGATTTTTGACAGTATAATTGGTCCACACAAAAGTGGAATGATTCAACAACGAGTGGTTGTGGAAAACATCTTGAGTCAGAAATAATACAAGAAGAAGCAGGCCGCTATCGACGTCATTGGCTTTGGTCCTGAAAGCCCTAGATCGCGACTGAAAATGGAACTTAGAAGAATTCAATCTCTGATGCTGTGTCTGGCTGTCACCATTTTGGGTAAGCTACAGGATTTCTCGACTAGACTCTGGTAATTTACGAAGAATCTGGGCTGATGTGCAGACTGATTGTCCTCAGGTGGACGTGCAAAGCCCCCAGCGAGGATAATCAAGGGGCAATATGCCTCGCTTGGCGAGTGTCCGTATCAGGTGGAGCTGCGAAAGTTCGACCAACATTGGTGTGGAGGAAGCATCCTCGATGCTACTCACATCTTGACTGCGGCGCACTGTTTTTCTCATGGCAGCACAGTGACTCGAGCTGAGGACATCGAAGTCATCGCAGGTGTTGTTGATTTCAATGCGCGAAAGGATGACAATGTTTACGCTGTTTCCGAAATTGTTGTTCATCAGGATTGGAATCCCGCGATATCTCGGAGTGCGGCACATTTTGCTGATATTGCTGTTCTAAAGGTGAAAGAAACATGAATTTCCGTTGATCGTGTTCTGTAAATGCCCTAGCCACTGTCCCGGTTTCTATCAGCCTCATCGAGTTTTTTAAGTTTGACGAGGAAGAGTGATCAAGTCATAATAGTGCAAAGAAAGTGTTCTGTTCTATTACAGTTGGCGAGACCCATTCGTTTCAATCGTCATCGGCGGCCGGTTACGCTGCCAAGTCGTAATCCACCTATTGGTGCATCCGTCATCGCCAGTGGGTGGGGGGTATCAGATCACAATGGGGAGACGAGTCCGATCTGGCTACAAAAACTGAGAATGAAGCTTGTCAGCCTAGACGACTGCAAAACAGCGCATCCTCAGCAAGTCGATGAAGGGCATGTCTGTGCGTTAGGTCCTTCGGGGTCGGCAGTCTGCTATGTGAGTACTTTAAATTGCAATCGTTCGGACTTGGTAGTGCGAATTTGTCATCATGCGCTGTTCAATTTCAGGGTGATAGCGGTGGTCCTTTGGTTCACAACAACGAACTCATAGGTGTCGTTTCATGGGGCGCCGGATGCATCAAAAGAGCTCCAGATGTCTTCACCAGTGTCGTATTTTACAAGGAATGGATCGAATGGGCCGTGAAATACCACTGATTATAAGGTTTATGTGACATCTGAAACTTTGTGCTCAATCATGTACGATCGTTCAATATATGAGAAGTAGTCTGTGACAGACGAAAAAATTCGATTTTAGTGAAAGTCGACTTTCCCTGTGAGAAAATCCAAGATCTGACCCTTGACCCAGTGAAAATGAAAATTTTTTTTTCGTCTTTTCTGCTGCCTCCGAGGGTTTCATTGGCATCAGGGGGGTCGAATAAATACAGAATCAATTTTCACTATTTTTTGTTGAAACACCGCATGCAACCGACAGAGATGTTGAAAGACTTGCTATTTTGCTATCTCCCTTAGATTCGGAAATATTCCTCAAAAACTCAACTAGGAGATAAGTCGACTTGAATCGTTTTCCACTTCGCTACTGAATTGTAGAAGAGAGTTCTTTTTCGGTCAAATAAAATTGATTATGGGGTTTAAAACATTATTATTTTTCGTTCAGTGATAATTTGGTTTTTCTTCGACAGGGGGGAGGGGGGGGGGGGCTTCGTCCTCCTGAACCCCCCTCTTGCGCCTGTACTATAATATCTACTACTGTAACTGACCGGAAATGCAGACTGCTAGGAACGTAGTCAAGATTTTGATCCGTTTGAACTCCATTACGATGATTTCTATCTGGATAATTCATAGACTTTATATACCGAGCCAATCTTCCACTCTTCATTGAACCGATGGTTTTTATTTGACTTGTCAATAATAGTTTATCGTATATTTATCGATGATTCTTAACTTCCCACAAAGGCAGGATATTATTTCTTTTTGAATGGGTTTACCGCAGCGTTAGAAGAATAATATTTCGAAGAATTCGCAGTAAACTCAGTGACGTCTTAAATTCATTTGATCAATACGACCTCCGTTGTTTCTCATTAATTTTCATGGCACCACGTCCCGAAAATTGATGAGAAGAATGGGTTGGGTCAATAAGACCTCACTCGGTTGAACAAAAACCACCTGCAAATGATTATTCGTCTATTTGTCGGCTTCCAGTCGGTATAAAATGTCAAAGATATTTGCAGACAATTCAATTCATTTCAAACATTCAATGTCGTCATCTTTCAATTACAGATGTGCGGCCGTAATTCAGAACCAACAACCAACAATAAATAGCAATGATACTTTCCTCTCATCCATTGTTTCCAATAAATTGTTTTCAATGAACGATCTTATCCCGCTCTTTTTTACAGGTCCATTAAGACTGCTAGAAATAGCGATAGTACAGTCCGAAATTATTTGAACAAATATGCATAAACAACAGGTAGTTATATGCAACTTTCCTCTCCGTGCAACAATTGATGAAGCATCCACTCGTAAATTTCCAGCATAAATTTGAGGTTTGGCTGAGACCAACAAAAGAAAAGCTGTTTCACGATCACCTGAACAGTGCACCAGATGACCGATTGTCTCCGGTGTTCGCTTACAATTGTCAGCTTGTAGGAAATGAAAATTTTCTAATGACTCAAGCGTCACTGAAAATAATGTATCATAAATGATGAGCTTGATGAACAATTCAGACTTGAACAATGAAAAGAGTGGCGAGGTGTATATAAGATTAGAGAACGGCTGATGCAGTCAGCATTACCATCTGTCCGGAAGACTTCTATTCGCATTGGAGTTGACGATGGAATCCAGAAGAATTCAATTGCTGACACTGTCTCTGGCCATTTGCATGTCCGGTGAGCTTACTAAACAATCATCTAAATCATTTTGCTGTAGTCATGATCATCGGGAGATGGGATAATAGAAGTGTAAACCATTGCTGCGTAATTGTCTTCAGTTGGATATGCCAAGCCACCCAGCAAAATTGTCAATGGACGGAATGCCTTGACCGGAGAGTTTCCGCATCAGGTGTCCCTTCAGATAAACCGAGAGCACTTCTGCGGAGGTAGTATCATCGATGCTACGCACATCCTGACTGCGGCGCATTGTGTTGTCGGTGATAATGGTGTAGGGGTCCGCGGAATAGAAGTTGTCACGGGTGTCCTTGATTTTCACAGTCGAAATGCTAATAATGTATTTCCAGTTTCACGAATCATCTATCACGGCAGATATGCACCCGAGGATAGCTGGAGGAACGACATCGCAGTGTTGACGGTAAGTGATGAGATATCGAAATTTTTCAGTGAGATCTATCCATGCCCGGTGGCTTGGCGCAGTGGGTAAGTTCGTTGCCTCACATGCAAAAGGTTCCGAATTCAAAACCCGGCCGGATAGAATGGTGAGATTTAACCATTTAAAGTCTTCACCATCATCGCAGCATACTCCAACCGGGTCGAAGCGATGTAAAATAACGATTAAACAAAAAAAAGACCTATCCATCAATTGGTTTCAACATTCATTTGCGGAGTGTTTGTAGCTGGCGAAAGCCATCATCTTCGACGATTACCAACAACCAATCAGACTACCAACCAGCGACACACCCGCTGGTGCTCGTGTCGTGGCTAGCGGTTGGGGTGCAGGAATATATCTAGGAAACAAGAGCAAGTCGCTGCGATATCTCCAGAAACTTCCGATGGGCGTCCTTAGTCTACAACAGTGCCGGAGGGTCTTGGGGTCTGGCATTCAGTCTGGACAGATCTGTGCTGCGGGTGCTGCAGGAACTGGCATCTGTGTTGTAAGTATTCAGGTAGATCAGGATGGGGCGAAAGGGAATAGCTCACGCCCAGATCGACTCATCGGTCAGAATATTCGTTCATTCAATTCCAGGGTGACAGTGGTGGTCCTCTGACCTATAACGGCACAGTCATCGGTGTCGCTTCCTTCGTCGTACCTTGCGGCAAAGGATACCCAGATGTCTACACACGGGTTTACGAATACGTACCGTGGATCAACCAAGTCGTACGAAATAACTAATTATAATATTGGTTCTGGAGTTCAAGCGTGCCTTGTACCTCTGATTATGAGTTACTTAATTCAGTTATGATCATGAAGTAAATGCTAATGAGCCCGTTAATTGATCCTTACCGTCAGACCATCAATTGTTTATGTTAATTATGATGAATTATACTTTATATTTTGTTGGATATGAAAACTCGTGCTTCTGGGGTGGCATTCGAAGCGTGGAAGAATTCGAGGAAAGCCATCACATGAGATAAACATTCCCGGCGTATGCCATTATTCAAAGTCAAGGGAAAGCACCAGTTGTGATCAATATCTGCAAATGGAACTTTCTAATTATCGTTCAAGTCGTAAATTATTGACGACTCACTATGTGGGAGCGATACGAGAGTTTTCAGTCATCTTGATTTCATCAGCTCTGCTATGAGTGCTATTTAATATTCTGAGTTGATGAGAAAAAACAATAAAAATTTAATGAAGCCGTTGTTATGACCTTGAATGCTTGAACTTACCTTTTGTATTTTTTGTCCCTTTGTTAATAACACACCGTCATAAAGAAATAAGGTTGAAGTGACAAAAGCAAACAGCGCACGCATACGTGTGGGGAATCCCCAATAATCTTGGAAGACAAATTGTGTACAACTCGATGCGAACGATGGCCTTCCATATGTGGAAAAACATCATCAATTCGTGTTCGGTTATTATAGATTTTAACTGTGTAGTAATAAATTACTCATCTCCATCGTATCCATTCCCGTGTTGACTGTTCCCCAGAAATGAAGAAAGATCATTTGTCACTGGGTATCAGTACTCGTCGGTTCTCCGATTCCGTCGGACGTCTATTCGCACAGTTGAGTCGCAAAATCGGTTGGCTTCAGACGAAAATTATATTTAATGAAAATTTTTGAGTTATCGAGATGTCGGTGTACATTCTCCTGGCTACTTTATCGATGATTGTTCACGGTAAGGGGAGAAAGTTAGATGACAATTATTGACAATCAATATGATGAAGCTTTTTTCGCTTTCGCCTGGAAGCGACGTAGAATGTCATGAAACGTGAATATATAATGTTTTTAGAAAATGAGTGAATTTATGTTCCGGTGTGTCTGCGTTTTTCGAAAAATGCTTGGAAATCTTCACAGAAAAAGGACTAAAGTTAAAGCTAAAAATCAGGAATTTCGTCGCATAATTTGGATTACTTTGGAGTATTTTTGGGCGCAATTTCCGCTCAATCGGTCAGGTAGTTTCCGAGATACAGCATTTTCTCAAAAATATTTTTTCCTCTATATCTCGAAAACTACGAGACTGAATGGAATTTTTTGCCGTCAAAATATTCCGTGCGATATCTATCAAATAAAATCATAATATTGCTATGTAACTGGGGACAGTTTGTTAATAATCAACGTTCTTCTTTTTTATGAGAAAATGTGAATATTAATTTTCATTGGAAAATTCATGTAAATTGCGGAATTTCTGTCCTCCTCCCGCTGAAAAATTGGGACTTTACCAAAATCTTCACAGAAACTTGAAATTCCATTGACTTTTTCTCCTCAAATACGAAAAAGCGTACTAAAAAAAATTTTTCTCAACGAAAATAAAAGTTTTTTCGCCGTGCTGAACCTCCCCTGAATTGAATAAAATGGGGAAATGAAGCTAATCTCAATCTTAAATCCTTCAGACGGACATCCAATGCAAATTCAACTCAATAATCGTATTTTGGGCGGTTCTGAAGCGTCGACCTATGACTTCCCTTCCTTAGTTGCAATCTTCAGGGAAGCAGAACAAACCTGCGGCGGGACGCTCATAAGCCCAAAGCACGTCCTGACTGCTGCCCACTGTATTTACGAAGGCAGACCTTACGAGTATTCTATTTTGGCTGGTGTCACGAATTTGGCCGATCGCAGCGGTGTCTGGATCGGTGTCCGCGGAAAAATGCGGCATCCGAGGTACCACCCGCCAATTCCCAGTTTCGATGATCTTAAGAATGATATCGGCGTGCTGAAGGTTCGTTAACCAGCAAGAACGAATATTTAGGACAATGGATACTTGTTTTCCATTCTTAAAGGGAAAGTACACTGTTGAAAATTTTTCACTGAAATTTCCGGAACGGTCTTGGAAATTTTGTCATTGAAAATTCATAATTTCACGGGAAAATCCGGAGGGGATATAATTTTTTGGCAGAACTACTTTCTCCTCTCATTGTATACTATTAATGTAAATTTTCGTCTGAATTGTCCGTACCAAATTCCGGAAATTTTTATTGTGTTCAAGTTCCACTGAAATTTCAGAAAATCTTATCAATTACTCATTGAAAATTCAGGAATAAATAGAAAATTTGTCATTTTGTTTCTGAATATTCATGTTCCACTGAAAATTCAATCAAGTTGTGAAATTTCCCTCTCACTCCCACTGAAAACTCATGAATTACCGTGAATTCCACTTAAAACTTGAAATTTCATAACCATTTCCTCCCTAAATCCGATTCAATGTCACTCTCATGAGAATTACTATAATATCTTCCTTGAAATGTCAAAAAAATTCTAACAGTGTACTACAAAAATGATCCTGTGTTGGTGGGAACTTTCTGATCAAACAAATTTAATCTTTCCTCTCACTCACAGCAAAACCGAATGTCTGAATTTTACACACCTCTTGCAGACATTCTTCAGACCCTAAAAACCGTCTGAATAAAATGAAAATATGCCTGAATTTGATAAACAGGTGTCTAAATATCTCAATTCACGTTTGAAATTCAGCCAAATTTTCATTTCATTCAGAAATACACGGAGAGAAATGTTCAGTAAAAATTACGGAACTCACAGTTCGTTCACCGATTGCGGAATCGACTCAGAAAATTTAAGTGACGGCATCGTAATTTTTCACAGGAGATTCAGTTAAAAATTGCGTGACAGTTGCGTAAAATTTCCTACAACCACATTTCGCTCCGGAATTACGGAAAAGATACGTAATTTTTATTGAATATTTCTCCCTGTGAAAATTGGCTTTTTTAGTGTCTGAAAAATGTCTACAAAAGCTGTGTGAAATTCAGAAATTCATTTTTTCTGTGTTGTACCCTCATTTGATCATTTGCCTCCACTTCCCCCTCAAAGACCCATCCCACTAACTTCAATATTGCAGCTTGTTTCTCGCATAGACGTGACCGCCCCCAACATCGCGATAGCAAAGCTGCCGACCCACAATTTGGCCGCTCGCACTGTCGGTTTGGCCGGCGGTTGGGGGAGTTTAAACAAGCAAGGTGAAAAATCCAATCACCTCCGCAAAGCCGTCGTCTACGTTTGGCCGTTGACTCACTGTCAAGCGCGGTTCAGCTGGCACACCAACGATCAATTCTGCGGGAGTGGTTATGACGTACCCACTAACATGTGCTATGTAAGTCTTTATCTTTCATCACTCCTCTTCCTGTTACGAACTCCAGCCATTTATGTTTCCCATTTTAGGGGGACAGCGGTGGTCCCTTCATGGTGGGTGACACAATCTTCGGTGTTCTCTCAGTCGCCACCTGTACCTCTCGCGGCACCATAACTTACACGAAGGTCTACTCTCATCTGGCCTTCCTCGAGAAGGCCTTAAAATTCTGACGCTGTTCTATTTATTTTCCATTTTTTACCGACAGGTTTATCCTCTTTGGTTAAAGTAGCTCTACCCTTACAGTAAATTCAAATATTATTGAAAACTGCAAAAAAATTGCAGAAAACTCGATTATATTCGGAATTCTAATATTTTTAAATTCAAATATTATTGAAAACTGCAAAAAAAATGCAGAAAACTCGATTATATTCGGAATTCTAATATTTTTAAATTCAAATATTATTGAAAACTGCAAAAAAATTGCAGAAAACTCGATTGTATTCGGAATTCTAATATTTTTCTCAATTTCATTATCGTTTTGGTTTTTCAAAGAAGAAATGTTTAAAAATCAGGATTTAACCCAGTGTCTTATGTAAAAATCAACATTTCCATTGTAATCAAGGATTAAAATCTGATTTTTTTTTTCATTAGATGTGACAAAATCAAGAATTTTGTTGACACTTCATAAAAAATAATCCACCATCTTGCAAACAAGTTTTACTATTTATTTATAAGAGGGAAATGTTTGAAAAAATATCACTACTCTGCGAAACTTAATTTAGATAATACTGACTGGGTATGATTTTTTCAAATTTTTGTCAATGCAATTTACACTGAGAGAAATATTCAATAAAAATTACGTATCTTTTCGAATATTCCGGAGCGAAATGTGGTTGTAGGAAATTTTACGGAACTGTCACGGAATTTTTCCGGAATTACGATACCGTCACTTAAATTCAGTAGCGAAGCGGTAAACCGGGTTAAGTCGATTTTGACTATTGGCCAGTTTTTGACGAATATCTGGGAATCTAAAAGAGATAGAAAAATTTTTCTCATGACCTTTTTTGTAGAGCCAACTGAGGGTTATAAAAAAGGTGATGAACAAAATTTTGCTATCTCTCTTAGATTGCGAGATATTTGTTNCGATTATATTCGGAATTCTAATATTTTTAAATTCAAATATTATTGAAAACTGCAAAAAAATTGCAGAAAACTCGATTGTATTCGGAATTCTAATATTTTTCTCAATTTCATTATCGTTTTGGTTTTTCAAAGAAGAAATGTTTAAAAATCAGGATTTAACCCAGTGTCTTATGTAAAAATCAACATTTCCATTGTAATCAAGGATTAAAATCTGATTTTTTTTTTCATTAGATGTGACAAAATCAAGAATTTTGTTGACACTTCATAAAAAATAATCCACCATCTTGCAAACAAGTTTTACTATTTATTTATAAGAGGGAAATGTTTGAAAAAATATCACTACTCTGCGAAACTTAATTTAGATAATACTGACTGGGTATGATTTTTTCAAATTTTTGTCAATGCAATTTACACTGAGAGAAATATTCAATAAAAATTACGTATCTTTTCGAATATTCCGGAGCGAAATGTGGTTGTAGGAAATTTTACGGAACTGTCACGGAATTTTTCCGGAATTACGATACCGTCACTTAAATTCAGTAGCGAAGCGGTAAACCGGGTTAAGTCGATTTTGACTATTGGCCAGTTTTTGACGAATATCTGGGAATCTAAAAGAGATAGAAAAATTTTTCTCATGACCTTTTTTGTAGAGCCAACTGAGGGTTATAAAAAAGGTGATGAACAAAATTTTGCTATCTCTCTTAGATTGCGAGATATTTGTTAAAAAATGCCCAAAAGTCAAAATCGACTTAACCCGGTTTACCGCTTCGCTACTGAATTATCTGAGTCGATTCCGTAATCGGTGAGTGAAGTGAGAGTTCCGTAATTTTTACTGAACATTTCTCTCCGTGTAGTTGAAAAAATAAAAAAACTGAAAATATCCAAAAGCACAGCGTAGCCCGGCCAAAGGGTAGAGCTACTTTAAACACTTTCTCCCACATCTCTCCACGTAGTTTCCTAATCGACACCATGAACGAATGTCATGTA